AGGAACGCCGATTACTACGAGAAGATCTCGGACCCCCTCGATCTCACCACCATCGAGAAGCAGATCCTGACGGGCTACTACAAAACGGTGGAGGCTTTCGACGGGGATATGCTGAAGGTTTTCCGCAACGCTGAGGTGAGTGGGCAGCTGGAACCGAGGAGAGTTTTCTCCCCCAAACTCCCCCCTTCTCCAAAAACCTCCGCTCCCAAAGATTCCCGCCTCCGTTTGGTTCCGCTTCGGCGCCGGGAATAACGTTGCACTCGTGTTTCTCGACCTCAGCAACCTTTTTTTTTTTTTATCATTAAAACGAACTTGATTTGCAGAAGATTAAAAAGATACAAACCTACAAATGTACAGAAATAAAAAAATAGTAAATGTACAAATAAAACAGTAAACATATTTGTTTCTATTACATTTGATATTAGGTTCGATAGTTCATAGTAAACAATAATAAATAATAATTGGGAAGTATTCCTTATCTCTTATAGATTACATATTAATTAATAAATAACACCTATTACTCTACTACCGTATTACTATTGGATTATAACTGTATTATTTAATCAATAAATCCTTCATAGTGCTTATGTAGTAGGAGAGAAGATTGAAACCATTATTTTATACATTCAATATATAACAACCTATATATAATATATTTCCTGGGTTCATTTATTCTGTACATTCTTTTTCTTGCATTCTACCCAGCTGTACCATTTATCCCAAGACCTCAGCAACTTTTAAGATAGCGGGACAACAACTCCCAGAATTCCCCAGTCCGCCAGGCTTAAAGCCTGCTGGCTGGGGAAGTCTGGGAAATGGAAGTCTACTCTTAAAGCAGGCTGATTTGGGAATTCTGGGAGTCGAAGTCCAACCCTCTTAAAGGATGCTGGCTGGGGAATTCTGGGAGTCAAAGTCCACCCATCGTCCCCTGCCTGAAATATTAGTCTTAACTTGACACGGATCAACCCTTGAATTTCACGGCCCGTTAAATACGAAAATCTGAAAGTTCCCACGGAGGAGATGACCGCCAGTCTCTCTCTCTCTCTCTCTCTCTCTCTCCCTCCCTCTC